CAAAAGATTCTCTTCAAACTCACCTCTGAGCATTCCGTCCCCACAGTCGTAGTTGGCGATCGTAAACCTCCTCCTCACTGGCCGATATTTCCTCTACGACAGGCATGAATCACCGACTACCGTCACGCGCCACAAAATTAAACCTCCATCACCACTAACACAATTTCCAAAGTAAAATCAGAAAATATTCGTAACATGAATTTTTCGGCAACTTGCGAAGTACTCCAAAATTCTCATCGTTTCTGAGCTGGCGACGACGAGGTGGACTATGCCTGAGAGCGCGAGACAAATAAATACGTCAATACGGTCACTATAAACTTGTTCAATAACTTTTCAGGCGAATCAGCTGGAACCAGAATGGTTCACATCAGTATGAATTATATGGTTTCGACTCACTTTTCGGACTACGATTAATCGGATGATTAATACTAGGAGTGATTCCCGAACACCTGCGAATCGGGCAATCAAAAATTCGGGAAATATTTCAGAGAAACTCAACACTCATAGGACAGGCTTTTTGCTGTAGCCAATTCTTCCACATACAGACAATTGACCTCATCTTTTGCTTTCGTCCGGAACCATACGAGCTCGACCAATCTGCCGTCCGCGAGCTCTCACCAACCATTTCTATAAGTATATTGCCACTGGACGAGTCCAAAGTGACCTCGGCGAATACTCACTATTCAAGGATTCTTGGAGCCCTCATCATATATATTGTTAATCCCACGGTACCTACTTTGCGTGGTGCATGACGCAGCCTGTGAAGTGCGTATACTCGGATTCTACTATACACTTGAGGTCATTGATATTGAGCTTTCCACCATGCACCCGTAAGTTAAGTGGTCTTAAGAACCGCAGCTTTGGCACCAAAAGTTACTCACATCCGATAGAGCATACAGTGTTGTATTAACACTCCTGTGGTTCTAAGTGGCCACTTCATTATCCTGGCCACTAGATGATTCCCTGTAAAATATTTGCACAATGTGCTCTTCAACAGGGTGAAATCCGCGCCTGACGGATTGCGGAATTGCTGGACTGCCGTTCAGTAAACGGTCGATCCTGATCCACGTTCTTAGTGTCGACCTGGTTAGCCATTATATGATCAACAACTCCGCCGAGTAATGAACACTCTATCGCTGCTACTTCCCGAGTTCAGTATGGCAGCATCCATATGATCGTTCCCTGGATTCATAACAAGTCGTCTTGAGAGCTTCATGCGGCATGAGTCATGCCGCGAACAATAAGAGCTCATACCATTCCTCGGATACCAAACATGACCAAACACACGCCAGCATGTGATGATAAAAACTCCTAGGAAACCGCTCTCCGATCATGAAACCGGACGAAGCGAGGTTTCGCTTACGCCTCTTTTTCAAGGGAAAGCGAAATCTGCCAAAAGCCTCGCTCCCAGGTACCCGGTGTGGGAGTATATGCACATAATCAACTACATGTGTCGGTAAAACTATGGCCGAAGAAATTTTAGCAAATCATCTTTGATTTTTATGCATTTCTACCCGAAATCGTGTCTCAATTCTCATGATGTTAGTGAGGAAACTTACGAGTCCAGTTGACGGAACCAAACATACATTTCCACACTGCACGTACCAGTACTGTAAAAGCTGACTCGCAGCACTACAGTTGGTGGTTTCAGTCGCCAACTTGAATCTTTTCCTTATATTCACCGCCGAGCTTAACTAGATTTTGATACGCTCAAAGACTTCAATCGAGTTTTGATCAAAACATGAAAACTGAAAACACCCTTGTCAAGATTCGAACTCCCTACCACAAATAACTACTCACCAGTCGGACCTGGAAACCCCTTCAAATATTATGATGAAATGAATCGCTTGAGAGAACCAAGGAAGCAACAGACATAAATTATGTCGCGCGCCACGAAATTTATCAGTACTAGATGAATATCGTACAAAAGCAATGATATGAGGTGCTGCAAGTATCTTATGTTCCATGAAAAAGGATTCAAAATAGGTCAGAGCAGGTTAATCGATTATCGATTCAAACACCTTCAGCGGACTCCAACGCCCAGCTATTCCTCTTGCTCGCCTTCACAGGCCAGTGCTCCGGAGTCTGAATGAATCCAATATATTTAATCACTCCAGCTACCCCTCATCACTAGACTCACCGAGAGACTCTGTTTCCGCATCGCGCCGTGACTATATATCCGTCCGGTTGGCATTGGTCGCTCTCTCGGACAAGCGGCTAAGAAGCCTTCACGCGCCAGGAAAATACAATACCTGCATGTCTCACTCAAGTGATTTTACCGCTCAATTATCCAACACGATGTTTACAACAAAAACCTCAAAAAATTTCCAAAATTTTTTACCCAAAAAAAAGAGTCGACGTTCACTTCAACGAGCTCACTATTTTTTCTACAATTTTCACTCACGCTTCTTCAGTGATGACATCCGACGTCTCCACTTTCGTTACAGTTTCATCATCAAAATTATACCTAAAGCGAATCGAGCTCGTCCGATCGTTTCGGTGCAACCCACCACTCCCCATCTGTTCGATTTCTGCACGTCGCTGTGTAATGGCCACTACGGAGACTCCCACTGTGATTAATAACTGCAAAAACCTGTAGAAAAAATTAAATTAAAATTTACGGCGAAAAACTGCGAGAAAAAAACTCACCGAATACGTCTGCTCGCAGTAGTCACCAATGCGAATGCCGTCCAATCCACAATCAACCTGAGCAAAAATGAAGACACTCGCGAGATCCCAGGTTCGATCCCCGGTCACGTCATTCCTCCAAATTCGAGAAAGCCGTTAAAAAGCTAACAAAGATATGCATAGGATACCAAAACAAGGTAAATTCCCAATATCATCGACACACCACAACACCATCACTTCTCTAGATTTTTTCAATATGGAAATTAGAGATTTTACCAGATTTTCCCCTTGGAAACAAAACTAAAAATTCTGATATTAATAGTCATACCACAATACCGTTACTTTTCCACATTTTCTCCGTAAACAATAAAACAAAAAAATAACGACAACACCGCCACCTCACCAGAGTTTTGATCTTGCTAGCCAAACAACAGAGATTCCCCAATCGTGTCGAGCCAAGCACGTGCGGCGTGTCCACTTTCTGGAACCGCTTCAAATGCACAATCAAAACGGGCGGAACAACAAACACACTAAGCGTACCTAAAACGAAGACCTTCTATGTAAAAAGCGCACGCCCAAGTGATCGATTACGAGTGCTATCTCGATGCTCTTTGCAGTGATCACAATACCACTTGTTGTCGCCTGTGAGTTTCTCAGGCTGATGAAAAGCATCGAGAGCCTCTTCCAACGACGTGCACACCCTCCCGTTGAAC